ATAATTAGGAGTTTAGCTTGAAGAATGACTCTTGGATGGCTAAAGGTATATTTTGGATTCATTCTCCATCTTGGACTCAAATAAGATGTTTTATATATAGGCACATTGTATCTCCATAATACAACATTCATTTATTATTCTTTACATCTTCAACAACATATTGAGAGATTGAGAGTTCAGATCTCAATTGAGATGATTGAAATCTTGATATTGTAAATACAAAACTATTGATTATAGTGGATTATTCTCCACTGCTCGCGATTTTTTCTCGAATTGGATTTTCACGTAAATTCTTATGTTCTTGTTTTCTTCTTCTTTATTTCATTATCGTCACTATCTTGCGATCCGTTTCATAACAAAAACTGACCAACTTCTTTTTACCATTTTCATTAATTTTAAAGGGGTAAAACGGTAACTTTGCATATTATATATAAAAAAATTTTAAAAAATGAAAATAAAAACTTATTTAAAAAAAAAAAATTTACTTAAAAAATAAAATAAAATAGCAACTTATTTTAAAAAAAAGTTACTTAGAAAAAAAATTAAAATAAAAACTTATTTAAAATAAACGTTTTTGAAATAAAATAAAAACTTATTTTAAAATAAACATTTTTAAAATTAAAAAAGAACTTTTTTAAATTTATTATATATATATAATACAAAGTCACCGTTTTACTTTTTTTATAATTAGTGAAAGTAGTGAAAAGAAATTAGGTGGGCATTGTGAAAAAAAATCAAATTGGATGGCTATGCTGACACTAAATATAAAGTTAGGTGATTGTGATAAAATAAAATCAAATTGGATGGTCATGATGACACTAAATATATAGTTGGATGGTCATTAATGAATTTAACTCGAGTTTTTAAGTTGAAACTTAAAATGTAGGGTTGTTGGTAATTTTCTTTCTCTCTCTCTTTTCTAACTTTAAATATGAATTAAGTCTCCGTATTTTAAACTCACGTCTTTTTTCTATGTCAAGAGTTGTTGTCATTGAACGTTCCTTTTGCAGCAACCTTTCAATGGAAATATCAAAGCAACCCAATGTCCACACATCATGTGGAGCCTAGAAAGTGCGACTCACTCTTACATTTGGACTGACTTCATTTTTTTCCAATACCATAATTCCATATGAAATTTCTTCATAAAATTTTACGGGAAATAGAATCATATTCTTGACCTGTATTTTGGATGATTTCTATCTTTATTTTCTATAACTTCACTTTTCCACAATGATTTTTTGACCACTACGGTTTCTTTCACTTTATTTTCCACAATTATCCCTCAAATCACGGGAGCAAAGGGACAAATTATGAACGCATTTCATTCTTTTTTCAGAAATTCAGGGTGGGGATGGAGAACAATGCTCCCTACCCTTATTTCTATTTTATTTTTATTCGAAAGGGGGTTGCCCGAGCCCAATACATTTCCATCCCTAAGTCACATTGATCCCTCGAGCACGTTTAAAAATAGTCACCTCATACAATCAACTAAGGAGATTAATTTCTGGAAAAATTAGACCCAATACCCTAAAAAATTAACTTATTTGATTAATACCTTGTTAACTAATTAAAACATTTTAGAACGTAATTAATACCTTACAAAATCCCCCAAACCCCTAAACCACGTACAATCTATAGTGATTTCGTCTCACTTGATTTCTGTAACTCAATGGCGGAGTATCATTCCCCATTCTTCAGTTGGTGTGATACACTGGTGTTGATCTCGAAGGCCTAGTTAAAGGAGACTCATCGTAGACGATGTTCCGATAACTGAGTTGATTTTGCTCCGAAAGCTTCTTAGAATGCAGGAGTCCATTGAGTTGCAGAGCCCCAAGAATTTGTTTTAACGTTTCCAAATTTTTAGAAGTCTCGTCGATTCCTCTCATCTTCAATCTCTCCTTCGATTGAAATTGTCTGCTTTGGCTCGGGAAAAATGCCCGTCGAGTTGAAGAAACCTTTGCAGTGAGTCGGAGGTTTCCATGGTGATAAATTCACCTATCTAATTAATTCTCTAGGTTGTTCAGTTTTCTTACTCTTGGATGAATACTTGATTGGATATGCATGACTTGGTGTCTCAAACACCGCATTGTCCAATACACACAACAATTTTTTATCCTACTCAAGATGTGGTTATTGGGAACTTTTTGTGAATCTCTTATGCTGCAAGTACCTATATCTCTCTTGTTTGGTTTGATGATCAATTACTTGTTTCTTATTTAATGTGAAAGTGCTTATTGTGTCAAAATGAGGATGCAAAGAATTAAACTCACAAATCTGTAAAGGACGATGATTGGGATTATCAGCATATTAGATTGAAGCAGCTGTATTTAGCAGTGGATTTGAAGGAAATTTTTAGAAGTATCTCGAATACGATTTCTTCATGAAGATTTGGAAGTGACCATGAAAGTGGAGGCCCAAAACCAGTCCATTCGAGTAGGTGAAAGGGCTGTGTGATTTTGGACGTAAGAACACAAGTCAGTTAGTATTTTTCAATAATGTATATTTGGCGGAGGATTACAGATTTCTTTAACTTGTATCTTTCTTTTGTTTCTTTTTTTATCGAATGTTGGTTTCAATACTGGTATGAACAAGTTCATGAACTGTCCTACAACCCTTTCTTTTTTAATTATGAGAAAAATAAAGTTTGTTGTTCTATTGGGCAATTCAGTGTTCTGTTCATGATTGATCGAGCTATGAAATTATGAGTGGTGAAGGAAGATGTGGTGTTCTGTTCATGATTTATCATGTAACAGGAAAAATTGTAAGCTATGCAGTAAGATCCAAACCATTTTGGTTGGTTTTCTTGTCTAGTAAATGCTAACAAACTCAAGGTTTTTGGCTATTTTGAAATAAATCAAATAGATATTGTGGATCGGTTGCTTGCTAACAATTTGTCACTTTTTTAATGTTTGTTACTTTTTTTGAATATTTGTCACTTTTTTTTCAATGCATGTCACTTTTTTCCCATCACTTTCTTGAAATTTATATTACTTTTTTTTAGTGTCAAACATTATTTTTAATAAAAGTTTTATATCACATTTTAATTAAAAGTAACGTGTCACTTTTTATTGCGTCACTTTTTTTTTAAAAAGTGTAAAAGTGACACTTAATTTTATACAATATTGTCCAAACTGAAATGTGGTTGTCTACACTACTGTAGTGAAAATAATAAATCAATTGTGTTACACCAACATGAAAATTACCAACTTGTCACTTTTTTTTTAGTATTCGTCACTTTTTTGAATTTGTGTCAGTTTTTTTAGTGTTTGCCACTTTTTATATCTTTTTAATGTTTGTTACTTTTTTGGTATTTTTCACTTTTTTTTTAGTTTGTCACTTTTTTTAAAAAAGTAAAAAAAGTGACAATTTTTATCAAAAAAAAAAAAAATGAAATTGTCACTTTTTGATTTTACACAATATTTTTTACTTCCTAAAACCCTTTCATATGATTTTTCAAAACATTCCTAATTTTAAAAGTATTTTTGCCCCTTAATTTCTGTCAACCATCAAAAGCCTCTCAGGATCTAAAAATAGAGATGACTACGGGACATGGATTCCTCGATTAATTGGGCAGGACCAATGGTCTTTGTCCCTTACGCTTGCTCGTCCGTGCCTCAAATAATAAGTTTGTTTTTTTTATAGAAATATATATATCAATAGGCTAATCATTTAAAGAAAACCCAAAATATTAAAATGTAAAGTCCATTATCTATTTTATAACAAGATGATCCACCACTATGTTATGAACTTATTATTCAACTCACTTAAAGATTCCAATATGAAATCCTTTTCATGCTTTTGTTGTTGAAATGTTGGAACTTTACTAAGCGTCACTCTGTCCCACGTCGAAAATCTATCTCTTATTAAAGAATGAATACCTATAGATAATGTAGTTTTTTTTTCCTTATAATTTAGTTTAATTTTAATTTATATAATAATGTAAAATTTATAATATTTAAAATACAGTTAAAAGGTTCTAAAGAAAGGCATAAACGGGGATTGGGAGTTCCATGTCCCGAACGCTCCCATTGACATTCCTAACTCAAAAGTTGCAAAATGCCAATACCTACCACTTGGTCCACTTCAAATTTGAAGGATTCATAATGTGAAATTCTCAATTGATTTAAATAGAAAGCACCAAAGACAGAAATTATATTCAGAATGGAATAAAAGAATCCCCAAATTGTTTGAATCTTGCTTTACATTCTTTCTGAAGTGACATCTAATTTTGTGGCTCTACAAGTTTGGGATTTACGCAGAAGGGGTGTCGGATGAGTCAGCTGCAGCCCTTTTCTTGGCGAAGTATTCTTCAGCACGTGCAAGGTTCTTTGCGACCGATGGCTTCACCCACTTCTTTCGGCTGGGAAGAACAGTTAAGGAACAACCTGCAGCCTCAAGCTTCTCCTTTGCTGAAGTCGAGAAGGCACGAGCCTTGAAGTTCAGTTTCACACTCACTTCTCCATCACCTAAGATCTGAAAGAAAAGAGAGATATGAGCAACTACTATGAAACCTAATGCCATCTATTGAACAACCTTTTCCTCCTTTCCATACAGGAAGTGTAGTATTCTGGTGTCATTAGATGCAAGCATTTTTCTGATGCTTACATGATAACAACCTTACTTTTTTTGTGTTGAATCCCATAAATTTAAAATCAACTCCTCGATGAGGGCATTTACATATTTCCAATTAAGCTAGTAGCAAAAGTTTCATGGGTTAAGATGAGACAATATATTATACCATGATCTTCACTGAGAAAATTAGGAAGTCACAGAAGAGAATGATTAAATAACATTACATCAATGCTAACTATAACGTCCCAAACCAATTTAGGGGTGCCTAGAACTCAACCAAATTGACAAAATGTTAATTTTGCAACTTGTTCAACTGAACATTTTCCTTCGATAAGGCTAGCCAATAATAACTCTGTTTTCCTCCACACCACGAAGAAATAGAAAGAAAAGGACAGAAACGCATGAATAACCATCATTGAGTTCTTATTCACTAGTTTATTAAAACACAAAGGCATTTTATCTTCGAAAAATAGTTAAATTATGCCTCGTCTTTCTTTGGTAGATCCAAAAAGGACGAAAAAGCATAGAAAAACCCAGGTTCTACAGAACAATGATTTGAAATTCAAGGACAAGCCTAAACATATTCCAGATCAGTCCTTCCTCGGTTTACAATAAAAAATTAAGTTCATCAGAAAATGATAGAATATTAATGAGATATAGAACTCTGAAACTATCATTGCGGGGTCAAATGTTGTCCATTTAACAAATTAAAAAAGATATGATAAAATTAACCCCCTGTTTGATAACCATTATTTCAAAGTTCTTTAATTCTCATACTCATTTTCAACCACACATTTACACAATAGGATATTTTGCACGTAAATTCAAAATTTTCTTACTTTTTAATCACAAATTCTCCAAAAAATCACTATTCAAAACTTCATTTTCTCAAAATAATGGCTATCAAACAGGGGGCAAATTTTTTAGAACATTAAATCATTTTAATTGCCTCCTTGAAGAAATCCTCAGAAAAATAAAAGCAGAAACAAAAAGTAACTATAATGAAAAATATTATTTATAGACATGAGAAACTTTCTAATAAAACATGCGAGGAATGAGAAAGCAGTTGTCATAAAGGATGTAGAAATAACTTGGCATGTGAAGCTTCGTAAAAAAATAATTCATCAATTACACAAGATTCCCAAAATGACTTGGTCTCGGATTAGTGTTTGACCATTTAACAAAGAAAGCCAAGAAGTTTCTTTCCATATGGACAGAGTTCTATTTTGCATCCGAAAAATTTGAGCTGTTATAGGTTAGAGTGAACTTTGCTCTACGGCGTTCTAAGCTCAGATACAATGATTGATGAGTTACTATTTGAATATGACCGACTCTATGATAAATGTGTTAGAAATGGGCTAAAAAGTTGCTGATTCTTTACGTAATTATAAAGTTTTTATAGTCTTCCACTTATCTAACAATTTCATGGCATCCATATACTTGCAAAAAAGAGGCTCTCTTCACTCTCACTTCTTTCCATTTATCTGGTCCATAAGGAGCATTTATATCATCTAAAATATATTACGTCCACATGATAGAAAGAATAAATGTAAATTAGCTTCATAAATTATTGAGGTGCTCATAGAAAGAAGGTTGTACTTATCATTTTAACTCCATTCTTGTCATTAGATAGACATTACTACTGATCTTAAACTTCAGCCTTCTGAAAAGCTTCTTGTAACCACCCGGGTCCCACTTAACAGGCTGTTCCGGCCATTAGATCAACGACATACTGTCCCCACTGTACCAACATGGGTCTTTTCAACATGCTTTATCCTCACTCGCACGCTCCCCAAGAAAACTTCCCACCTTATTTTCCGGAAGTCCATCGTTAAAAACTCTACACTTAAACATGCTTGGCTTGGAGCAATTCTATGATGGTTAACCCCTGAGAAATTTTCTTGAGGAGCGTGCGAGTGAGGATAAAGCATGCTGAAAAGACCTATGTTGGTACAGTGGGGACATCACGTCGTCGATCTAATGGCCGGGATAGCCTGTTAAGTGGGAACCGAGTCGTCACAAATGGTATCAGAGCCCGGTTGCCAGCTAGAAATTGAGAACTAAGTGCTATGCGGGACAAAGTGCTACGCTATAGGGCAGGAGCAACCTCTAGAATCCCAACGCCTGGCAACGGATCCTCAGATGGATCAAGCGAGACGAGGACGTTGTGAGTTTAACGAGGGGTGATTGTAATACCCAGACCAAGAAAGTTTAAAAAGATTTGATAGGTACTACTCATACCAACAAGGTGCACCTTCTTTTTCGGAAGTCCATCGTTAAAAACTCTATAGTTAAGCGTGCTTAACTTGAAGCAATTCTATAATGGGTGATCCCCTGGGAAGTTTTCTTGGAGAGCGTGCGAGTGAGGATAAAACATGTTCTACATGTTAGTACAGTAGGGACAGTACGTCGTCGATCTAATGGCCGGGACAGCCTGTTAAGTGGGACTCGGGTCGTTACACTTCTAGCTACTACTAATTTTAAAGAAAAAGGATGATATCAAGAAGACTTCATTTTTATACTCATTACTATTTAGACTAACATATTTTGGTGTATAAAGAATAATATATAAATAAAATGCTTGGAATACAGGGGCAGATATTTCCTATATAATATTATATACATTAATATGGGAAAATTTCAAAAAATTAGTAGTAAATGGACATGCAGAAATATTTATTTTGGAACAGCAGACAAGTTGGTTCCGATGTTATCAATGGTACTGAACACTAGAACCTATTAGCATTTCAACATCTTTAGAAATCCTCTTTATGTATATAAATCACGTTGGGAAATATTTAGCTTCCACAGTCACCATACATGACCATGTAATGGCCTTCAATGGCTTTCTCAATTTTGGATCGAGAAAGGGTAAATTACAAATATATTTACATTGAATAAGCTCTGGAAAAGGACACCAATATCTAAAAAATTAGGACGTAATTGAAACTTTATATGGAAAAAGTAGCTAGGTGATATTGTGTAGCTTGGAATGAAATTTCAGTTTGGATTTTGTAAAATATGAGGTAT